ATCTTTATACATCGAATAATAGTGCAATACACTATGATATGAATAAACAATTTAAAAAAGTCTCATTTACAATGTATATTGTTATTTTATAGAATAACTAGTGTATGTAAAATGTAAATATATTATTAATCATAATAATTATAAAACTCTTATACAATGTTATCTATGATTAATATTTTACAAATAGAGGCAGAGAAAACTTTATAATATCACACTAACATAGTAATATATTTAAAATATTTGCTCATTTATATAAAAGTTTAATTATATTTTATATAATATATATATATGTTAGATAATTAAAACTAAAATGTATAATATTAACTTTTAATAGTAAATAAATCTACAAGTTGCAAACATTAAAAATAAAGAAAAATGATTTTTAACTAATAACTTGATGTTCATTTTTCTTTGTTTCAGTGGACTCAGAAATTTGTCCTAAATTTGTCAAGACTATATCTTCATTGAGAAAATATGAGGTATCATCTTCAGTATCATCTTCATCACTTATTTGTGGATCAATGATTTCTTGCATTATTTTGATTAAATCTAATGATTGATTTTCGGTTAAAAGTTTGTTATCTAACTCCGCATAATTAATTGAATCATCGCCAATCAAACGAAATAATAATGCTTTATAATCATTAGTTGCATGATTATCTTCTGTTAGGTTTTCATCTGAGATCAAGATACCAGATTTAATGAAACTATTTCTGACTGTTGATCTTTTAACTTCATTAATAGCATGTTTTATCCAAAGAATTGCGTGTAGCACATTGATTCTATTTAGTAACCGAGGACTATTGTCCATTATTGATAGCTGATRTTTYAATACACATTGTCGATATAAAATTTTAAAATTTTGAATAACTCCTTGTTTCAGAGGATGACAGCAACATGATAAATATGGTGGAAAAAATATTAATTTAATAGATTGCAGATTGTTAAGCAAAGGATGAGAACTTGCATTATCTAGAAAAAKAACTATATTTCTTTTTGATTGAGTCATTCTATAATCAAAATCTAAAAGCCACTCAGTCATAATGTTACGTGTCATCCATGCTTTAGTGTTGGACTTCCAAACAATGTTTAGGTTGTCTATATTAATGTTTTTAAAGCAATTATGTTTCCCAACCTTTCCTATAATCAATGGTTTTTCAAATTCTCCATCCATGTTAGTGCACAACATAATGGTCAGTCTTTCTTTTGATAAATTTCCATCAATACAGGTCTCATTTATAAAGTTCATTGTATTTTCAGGAAGAATACGATAAAATARACCAGTTTCATCACAGTTAAATATATCCCGTTCCTTATAATCTTTAATAATTTCTTTTACATTATTTAACCATTCAGTAATAACACATTCTTTTAGTGATGTAGGATTTGCGTTAATATTTTTATAAGAAATTTGATGCCTGTCTTTAAATTTTTGCAACCATCCATTAGATGCTTTAAATTCATTAAGGCCAACTTCTGATGCCAATTCTAATGCTTTTTCTTTCAATACTGGACCTGAGATTGGAAAATTGTTGACGCGAGCATGTAGGTACCATTGAAATATCACTGTGTCAATTATTTCACCATCCGATTTTGGAAATTTACGTTTTGATTTTTCACTTCCTTGCTTCACAAATGTTTGTGATAAATAAACTTTGTTTTTTAATATATCACTAACCTGCGTTTTACCAATATTAAATTTTTCGGCTACTGCTCGTACTCCAACATTTTCTGTTTCCACAAATTTTATGATTTCAATTTTTTGTGCCAAAGTTAATCTTTTTCTCTTACCACAAGACATAATGGTGTACTCATATACACACAAATTTAGAAAACTTTGAAATACCGATAATTATTTCAATGCTGGCTATGTAAAGTCATTATGCAGATGAATATTCATTAATATTTGTGGTGCACTAAATAATTATTTTCACTATTGATTTATGTAAAATTATACATATCTTTGCACTTATTGGCTATTCAAAAATTAAAAATATATTACAGTTGTATCGAAGGGTCCAGTAACTTAGGAATACTTAGGGCCTATCTAATAAGTATATTTTTGCCGGGACCCGATAAAATATCCATTAATAAGTAGTCCGCTATTGTGAGAAGTCCATAAATATAGGTTCACTGTCTAAATATTCAAAATGAAACTTAATTAAGTAAAATATTAATAACACTATCCTTTTAAAAATACTTACAATATTATCCAACTTAGCAAATGTTATAAACCGCATAAATAATGCACATCCAGAAGATACACCAGTAATACGGAAACTACT